ACATGGTGGATATCTGACCAACAGGAAAAATGAATTAGTGACTAGACTTCTGTAATATTTTGTTACAGAAAATCGGGACAAAATGGTTAAAGAAAAGTTTTAAGTGCTGTTAGATAAGACTGACTTTCCTAAAGTTTGGTTTTTGGTTCTCTTATGGTTCATTTATATGATTTATGACTAAAAGTGATAAAAATTAAATCTTATAAAGGACATTTTATATGCGATCCATATGTTGTTCTCTGGGTTGTTCTGTTGTTATCTCAGTGTCATATCTGGCTGCTGTAGTCTGTCATGTATGCTGTTTTTAGCTTTGGTGTCAACAGACACTGAGTTAACCATTTTTCATTTTCTGCTGACAGTTAAGTCAAATATTTAAGCTCTTTTGCTATATTTGACAAGATTTATCCAAAATCAAATTCTAAATTAAATTCCTTTACCTCGAAATAAATTTTGAATATTTACAAAGGCTCCCTGAAATAGCCAAAATAGAAATATTAGAACAATTAGGCTTAAATTGCTGAAATGTCTTATAGCCAATGTTTAGCCTGTCAACTTAATATTAAAAAGACAGCAAAAATTACAAGTTCATCTCTACTATTTAATATGTTAAATTATCTGGGAAACAATGTCAAATCAAGTACTTTAAATTTTATTTATATTATGTTTAAAATAAATGTATGGATATTTTATGTGTATATGTGTACTTATGTATGTGTGTATTATAGACATATTGTGTTCCAAAACGAATTGAGATTCAGAAATCTATAATGTGATATTTATTAGTCATATTGTAGGTTATTATGTTAAATTGATGTGTGTAACAAATATAGCCAAATTTCTTTGTCAGTTATAATTTTTTTCCAGATCTTTAACTTTGGTTAGTTCAAGTCTTAATTCTCTCTCTCTCTTTCTCTCTTTTATTTTTTTCCGAGAGATTTTTGCTACAGGGCATGTGTGCTCACTAGAAAAACAGAGAGAGACAGAGAGACAGAAAGTGAGAAATCACCCCCCAGGGGGTTGGCCATGCCACAGTCCTTTCTCCTCTGTTCTCCTCTCGAGATCTTGGGCATGTACGCACATGCACCTTGAGTGAGTCTAAGACACCTGGTCTGGGACTTGAACCGTGGTTGACTACATGGGATTCCAGCGACATAGCCATTATGCCAACTACTGGTCTTAATTCAAGTCTTAATTCTCATGGTTAATTGCTTTGTTTGATTAAGACTTAGCAAAACTGGCATAGAAGGGACATTCCTCAAGCCATCTATGATACATCCAGAGATAATATCATACTGAATGAGGAAAAGTTAAAAATGTTTCCAAAATTAACTGGAACAAGAAAAATCTTCCCACTTTCTCCACTCCTCTTCAACATAGTACTGGTAATTCTAGCCAATGCAATCAGATGGGAGAGTCAAACGAAAGGAATTAAAATAGGAAAAGAAGTTAAATCATCTCTATTTGCAGATGATATGATTCTATACATAAAAAATCTGAAAGCATACACACACACACATACAAAAACAAACACCTGGAAGTGATAAATAAATACAATAAAGTGGCAGGACACAAAATTAACATAGAAAAATCTATAGCATTTTTATACACCAAGAATGAACAAACTGAGAGAGAACTGAAAATAACAGCCTCATTTACAATAGCCATAAAAACAATAAGATATCTAGGAATAAATCTAACCAAAGGAGTCAATGAGCTCTACCTGAAAAACTATAAAATATTGAAAAAGAAATTTTTAAAAATTTACATGTACTTGGATTGGAAAATTAGTATAAGTAAGATGTCAATCCTATCCAAAGTAATACATAAATTCAATGTAATTCTGATCAAACTACCAGAGATATTTCACACAGAAATAGAAGAGGCAATCATGAAAGACTCCATATAATGATGAGAATAGCGTGCAAGGTAAATAGAGTAAGAGGTATCTCACTTCCTGACCTCAAAACATATTACAAAGCGGTGATAATTAAAACAGCATGATATTGGCACAAAAACAGGCAGGCAGACCAAGGAGCAAAATTGAGAACCCCAAAATAAACCCCAAAACATAAATTAAACTCATCCTTGATAAAGGGCACAAGATAATCCAGTGGGGAAAAGAAAATCTCTTCAGCAAATTGTGCTGGGAAAATATCCACCTGTAGAAGAATGAAATTGGACCCTATTTCTCACCGTTAACGAAAATCAAGTCAAAATGAATTTTGAGTAAAAAAATCTCAGCATATAAAACCGCTAGTTGAGGGGGACCAGCAGTTAGCATAATGGCTATGTTGCTGGACTCCCACGTAGTTGACCGCGGTTCACGTCCCAGACCTGGTGGCTTAAAACTCACACCGGGCGCATGTGCGTGCATGCCCAAGATCCCGAGAGGAGAATGGAGGAGAAGGGATTGTGGCGTGGCCATCCCCCTTAGGGGGTGATTTCTCGCTTTCTGTCTCTCTGTCTCTTTCTGTCTGTCTGGCGAGCGCATGCACCCTATAGCGAAAACCTCTCAAAATAAATAAATAAATAAAAATGCTAGTTGAGAAACCAGGGAAAACTTTTGAAGACCTTGGAATAGGCAAAGACTTCTTAAAGAAGACCTCCAAAGCACAGGCAATAATCCCCAAAATAAAGAAGTGGCACTACATTAGGCTAAAATTTCTTCTGTATAGCAAAAGAAACAATAACTAAGATGAGAAGAGAACCCTCACATTGGGAGGAAATATTTGCAAACTGTGCCTCAAATAAGAGTCTGATAACCCAGAACATACAGGGAACATGAGCAGCTTACCTGCAAAAAAAATAATCCAATCAAAATATGGGAAAATTAGTGAACAGACAACTCTCCAAAGAACATACATTTTCTCTTCAAGAAAGACATACTAATGGCTAAAAAGCATATGAAAACATGCTCAACATCTATCATAAGGGAAATGCAAAGCAAAACCACAACGAGATATCACTTAACGCAGTCAGAATTGCTAAAATTTATTAAAAATATAGAATGATAAAGTGCTGGAGGGGGTGTGGTGAAAAGGAAACTTTCCTACACTGTTGGTAGAAATGTAAATTTGTACAACCATTGTGAAGAATGATATGCTGATTCCTCAGAAACCTACAAATAGAACTACCATAAGGCCCAGTAATTCAGCTCTTTGGGTGTTTACCCAAAGAATAGGAAAATCCTTAGGCAGAAAAAACAATGGCTCATTCATGTTGATTGCAGCATTATTTACAATTTCTAGGACATGGAAATCAAGCCAAATATCAAAAAACAGATGAGTGGATTGAAAAAAAAAAGTGGAATATATACTCTATGGAATACTACACAGCCATAAAAACAATGAAATCCTGACATTCAATGCAAAGTAGATGAATATGGCAGAGTTAATGCTAAGCAAGGCAAAACAGACTATGAAAGACAGACTTTGTATGTCCCCACTCAATATATAGCAAATGTCTGTGCTTTATAGCAGAAATTAAAGATTGGAAGGTATAATAGCAGGGAGGACAACTGTAGATACAAGAGATATCAAGGGAGGGATAATAAAGAGTAGGTAGTAGTGGGAGAGATGGAGAGGAACAGGGAAAAGAAACAATACATTTAATTTGACACAGAAATGGAAAGTTATTTGCTGATGATAATGTATATATTAATGTGAACAAAAATGAAAACATAATCTGACCTCCTGATTGAACCTATAAACTTATGTTACTGTGGTTAGGGTCTTTTCTCCCCATATTTAAGTGACTTGCACTATAATTTTCTTTAGGATTTTTAAAACTCGGATTAAGCACTGGATATATCCCCTTACAGTGATTAAATAGCCAGGTTGCTGGTAGTATAATACAGTTTTTACAAAAACAGGCATCCAGACAAAGAGACACAAGTGAACATAACAAATACTCTCCACTCTGATATTTGCATCTTCTAAATTTGTCCCTAACCTAAGACTTACCAGTCAGTGAGTAGATACTAGCTTCACATTCACGTTATTCCCCAACAGCTACTGTAATTTTCCTGTAAGCTGATAGTATCTCCTTCCTCAATGAACATACACTCTTTATTATGTATAGAGAGAGTGGTTGCATGTGCTAGTAAGATATATATAACCTAAAAGTTTAATATTGGAAACATTTATGTAATTGGTACAAAGAACTAATTTCACAATGGGAATAAAGGCTATGTACCCTGGCTTCTCAGTTCCCATTTTGAAGTCTAAGGAATAGGTTGAACAGCCCATAAAAAATAGGACCAGGACTAAGGTAAGATGAGCAAGGCACTTTCATTAGACATAAAACTTAAGGACTTGCCAAAACAAAACATAACAAAACACTCAATAATGAGAATAAATACTCTTTCATTTCTATCTATCCATCTATCTACCTATCTATATCTATCTATCTATCTATATTAGATTTTAATGTGTATACTCACTAGAGAGAAATAGAGAGAAAGTGACAAATAATCCCCAGGGGGATGGTCACACCATAATCCCTTCTCCTCCATTCTTCTCTAGAGATTTTGGGCACTCTCCCACACGCGCCTGGCATGCATTTCAAGCTGTCAGGTCCAGGGCTCAAACTGTGGTTGACTATGTGAGAGACGAGCATCTTAGCCACCATGCTACCAGCTGGTTCCTTGATACAATATTTTTTATAAATTCAAAATGAATGCAAATATCCATGATGAACATATTCAAATAGTAAATAAAGACAGGATCAGTCCTACTGATTTTTCCTTTTGCCTCAGGCACTATTAAAAAGAAAGCCACATTGTACAAAATACTCCAGAAACCATGACCTTTCATGTTCTGTAAGAGCACGTGCCTTGATTGCTAGAACCTGGGTATTACCTGGTACTCTACCAAGTGGATTAGCAGATGTATAACAGATGAGTAGTGAGAGCTCTCAGAATCTGCCCACAGCCCAGAAGGTAAAAAGTCACTCTTTTTTAGAAAGGCTGCCAAGACAGATGTCAAGATGATATTGAGTACCTACTGTTTTCTTCAATGCTGGTGAAACTTCTTAATCAGAGAAATGGGTTCTCCTGAGGAAGTTGTGGGGAATCTGACTGGATTAATTCATGCATGCCTGAAAGAACAAAAAAAGCAATGATCAGGTGCAGCATGGAGAATAGCCTGAGTGGACAGGGAAACTTAGCAGGTGGATTCTAAAATCCCGGAAAGTGGATTACCATGAGCAAAGACACATATGGAGAGAATTAAACTTAGCCCTTAGTGGTAGCAAAATAGAGTGGGAATCCCTTTATCATTTGACAAATCTGTTTGTCTGGAAGTCTTTGGAAAGGGTAAGAGAAGGTAGAAATGTCAGTGGCAAGGTTCACAAGTCCCACCCTAGTCACAAGGAGCTCTTAACTATGATGAACTATACTAGAAAAATTCCACAGCATCTAGTCAAACTCACAACACAGTGGAAGGGTAGAAGCTGTCTTTTTCTCATTCAGGGATCTATTCTGAAGAGTCCAAATGACCATAACTGTTTCAGTGATAAGTAAATACACCTGAAAAGAGACCTAGATGACCATTAGTTGTCAGCACTTTATATCACTATGGCATACAAAATGAATTTTCTCATCCAGAATACAAACACCGAATATTGGCCAAATCAAAGATAGTAGTATATCTACTATTTTCAACAGAAATTTTTTTATTTTATATTTCTTAACTGTTTTACTTCTTTCTTTTTTCCCCTTGATTCCTCCCTCCAACCCTCTGTTATTTCCCAATTTCCCACCCTCCTTCCATGCTGTCTCTGGTAACACACTTACTCTCTGTGCCTATATCATCCAATATTTCAGTTTCTGCCATAGATTTAAGACAATTGATATGTATTGAGTGGGAATATACAATGTCTGTCTTTCATTTTATGACTTGCTTCACACTTAGCAGTAATCAATTTATCATTGAGTTTACAAGTTTCTTGTTTCACTGTCAGTCCACAAGTTTTTGATGGCTGGTGATTTTTCTCTTCACATAGTAAAGAATACTGGTTCCCATACTATTGCAAAAAATAAAAGTAAGAGGAACACTTGTTCCTGGTGATTAGTACATTCTTAGGTAATCCTACTATTGGATTGTCAGAATATATTTAAATATATTGCCCACCTAAGATTATCCCCTTCTGTGTTCATTTAATTCCCCCTTCTACTAACTAAAATGTATCTTTCTCTGTGTTTTATCTCCTTCACTTTGTAAAGTGAAATGTAGTTTATCTGAATGATTACAGTTAATCAGCTAATATGTAATCACTTCTCGTAATATTTTCACTTCATTAGGAGATTCCTAGAGACACAGTGCCTTAAAGAATTTAGTCTACTATGGGACATTTTAGGCAAACCTGGGCAAGATATTATTAGGTAAAGTGGAACAGAGAAAGGTGAGGTGGAAGTTTTGGTGCCCCTAAATCACCCCACATAGAACACTACCTACAAGCATTGCAAGGATACATATAGGGCAACTTTGTGTAGAAAATAACCTATACCCTCACTCCTATTTAAAAGAACTTTTTTTGTATGAATCCTTCACTTGTATTGATTTTAACTTGCACTTAAAGCCATATATATTTATCTTATTTTCTGACAAAAAATCTTTTTTTTTTTTTTGTTAAAACTTACCATGTCAAGACTAGTGGGGGGTGGGGTGGTTAAGGTGCTGGACACTTCCAAATGACTGACTATGGTTCAAATCCCCAACCTCACTTTCTCTCTCTCTTTCTCTCTCTCTCTCTCTCTCTCTCTCTCTCTCTCTCATGTGTGTG